TGGTTGACCAAATTTTTTAACCTTTTTCACTCGCATTTTTTAATATTTTGAAGATGGTAGTATTGTATTCTTTAAGTTTTACTCTGAAGAAACTTTTAGTTTATCTTATATAAGAAAATAAATAATTTTTTATAATTTAATTTGTTGTTTTTCCTTTCTTTCTATATTTAATTTTTTGTGATTACGTACGTATTCTACATAATTTTCTTGCAATTAATTTCTCATTATGAGATGATTATGGTTCAAGCGGAAATTAATATACATACATATACTAATTTTCAAAGCAATAATTTTCTGGTTTTAATAGTATATTCATTTTATAATTTTTTCATTAAAAATTAAAAGTTTCAAATTTTGTTTTTTTAAGAAAGCAAATAATTTAAAATTCTTTACAACGTTTTGCTGTTTATATAAAAACTTCTCAACTTCTCGTAACCGTTACACTACACTTGACATTGCCTGTCATTTACTTAATTGTTCGCCCAACGAAAACCTGTCGTCGTCTCCTTTAATGCTGTGCGTTGTGTGCGTGCGTCTGTGTCGTCGCCACATTTCTTAGCTAATTAAGTCAATCTCCCATGCTCCAGCGCGCAACGTCCGTCTCATTGGTACGCTAAATTGCCGTTTCATATAATAGACATACTTACATAAATACATACATATATGTATAACTACATATTGAAAACACATATAAAACTAACGAAAATAAAAATAGATGAAAGTAAAAAAAAAGTAACAAAAAAAATATATATATGTATATATATAAAAATTGTAATTTAACCGCGCTTCACCTTTGCGTCGCTGTGGTAGCCACAGCATGGTATGTAGTAACTAAGTAAGCATTTAGAATCAAGTTTCGCCTTGTTTTCCCATTGTTGTGGCAAATCAAGTTAGAAAGCAACGATTTAGTTCACGTTTAACAGCTATCGAAGTTGGTTCGGTCATTGACGACGTTACAGGAATTCCGTGAAATACTCCAAACATAACTGTATTCTATTTTATACTATATATTTTTATTTAGTGCTTTAAAAAATACGTAAAAATAGTAAAAAAATGGCGTTCAGCGGTTGTACGGGTAATAAAAATGTCATAAGAGAATAGAAAAAAGTATTGAACTTCAAAATTAATTATTTTAAATTTCAAAATATTACATGTTTTTGAGATGGAGTGTGCAGATATTACAAATGTAAAATGGAGATATAGGAAAAATAATCAATTGTGAAGTATTTTCACTCACTAAAATTGA